CTTGCGAAGACGGCTTCCAACGACCGGACTACCAGACCGCAAGTTGTGCGAGCATGGTTCCGAGCAACTTCAACGAACCGCGCCATGCAGAACAGAATTTCCGTCTCTTATGCTATACGCTGCATAGTTCGTGAAAATCCAGCGGGACGGCTAACGATCCACATTTACATGCATTACGAAGAGTCACACTGCTCTGGTGAGCTTCTGGCTTTGAAAGTTCTGTTTATGGCCTTCAACACCTGTCTAGTTTCTCATTTACTACTATCCTAAGTGGTGCCGAGGAACTGAGCGAAGAGGCTGTTGAGTCGTCTTCATTGGCCGGACCCTCCATCTCAATCTATCTCGCTTCATCCATCACCTTAAGAATCCAACAGGATGCATAGAAGGCACCATCATTTCCCAAATACCGGGGAAGAATAGCGGGTTGTAGCGGGAAACATGGCCATGAGCATGAATCCGCATTGTCAGGTGAGCAATCCTGCGTATGCCCAACCGTCCGAGGAGGTACCTAGTCACTCGAGGGTAATTCGTGGACTACCAAGTATTGATTGTAATTGTCGGTAACCAATCGCACGGTTAGCAAGCGGTATCACATCCCGAAAGGGTCTCGCTTCACCTGTCTTGCAGGCATGATGTAGGCTCACTAATTATGGGCATTTGCTGGACGATGAAAGAATAATTAAGGGCCTATGTTTAGCACCGGCCCTTCCCTGTCTCCCACCGAGCTCTCCTAGCCGGTTGCCTGCCCCGCAGTGTAAGCTAGGACGATGGGAACTGCTATTGGATACACAATTCTGCTAGCAAAAGCTTGTCCTGCAAATTCCAACCCCATCGACATGCACAAGCGACTTGCTTTGCGTGGGAGCGCACGATGACTGGATGCCACAACCTGTCGTGCTATGCCAACTCGCCGCATTACTCGAGGGCTCACCCACTCGACTTACCTCCTCCCGCATAGCTCGGGAAAACACCATCAACCGACCTGCCGTGTTTGGTCGACAATGCGGCCTACGTTTTCGTTCGCCTAGCTACGAGCTGGTCAAGTCCCGCTGTGGAAATGATCACGACAGCGTGGACGCGAATTGGGCCGCCTCGAGTTTACGTGATTCCGTCCTCAATGCCCGAACGTTCTGGCTCAACGTGGCACAAGCGAATAGATTTTGAGCAACTGCCCCATCTCTTGGTACTACGAGTCACTGTACATTTCTTGGTGTCGACACGAGGGCAGGTACCGATACACTACGTACATGAGGCTTGCAGATGTTATGCTATCATCTACGTACGGACTTGGCACACTGCAGTCCGGATCTGCACATCTGCACAAGGCCACCAGTAACGTCCGGGCCGGCCACTTATCGCAGCCGCTGCATGTACTTCCTAGGCCACTCTTGGACACAACTCGATAGTGCCCCGCAAGGAGGTTGGGTCAAGAGGGGGATCAAGGCCCACGGCCCCAGTCAGCGAAAACTCTCAAGTCGACATGGTAATATGCTTCCAGTACTAAATGGGTCATTTAACTTGCTAAAGTCGTTGCGGGGACCAGTAAGCCGATCGATAGCCGTGGAGATATACGCGCTAAGCACTGCTGTTGGCTCTAGCGCGGCGGGTAAGAGTGCCCCAAAATAGCAAGGAGCACAGAATGACCCCAAATGTCGACATCAGGCTGCACGCCAGAAACTAGCCGTCCAATCAATATGCTGTGTCGCCATGCTGCATGGCGTTCGCATCTCCCTCCCGTTGGACGACCACCTGGTCAGATAGCAGGGACTCCAAGAATAGATTCAGCAATATTTGTGAACAATCTGCCGTTCGTGGTAGATATAAGGTACTTGTCTCTCATTAATACATCTCCACGCAACAGGTAGACCGCATAATTTGGTTCCGCTCCTTCCTTCACATCAAGCCCGCTGGTCAGGCTTTGAATACCCATCTTTAATTACGAGCAGCCCGGTCGAGCCCTGCCATCCTGTCCCTTACGAATCGTCCCGTCGCGCGTTAGTCGTTATTGCCGCATTGTTTACTGGCTTTCCTCATATACCACAGCTCTGGGTACATCAAGCGTCCATGTCCTCCTCGTCCGCTCCCCCATCCGCTACCAAACAGTCCTCAACCATGGTAGGGACCACAAATGCTGCTAACGCAGCAAAACAACAAGCTGCCGCAAAAATGCACCGTCGTTCACGATCAGGTAAGGACCACCCTTTCTATGTGGATGCAGGGATCCCGCGCATGGACAATCGACTAACGGGAGCTCTGCAGGGTGCTTCACATGTCGCCTGCGACGGAAGAAGTGTGATGAAGGAAAACCCTCTTGCCGCGCATGCAAACACCTTGGTCTCAAGTGCGAATACAAGAGGCCAATGTGGTGGAGTAACAATGAACAAAGACGAACACAAAAAGAAGTCATCAAAAACATCATCAAGCGTACCAAGCTCAATGAGAAGACAGCACAGAGCGGCGCGATGGGCACCAACACACCACCAAGCCTATGCCATTCAATGCAAACTGCCGACACGTTCTCAGACGGCGTCAGCTGCACCCGGGCGCCCTCTGTCGACTCACAAAACTCGCTGGACTACAACTTCAACCCTACTGTTACACCCGACTTTTACAACTCGACAATGCCTCCGCCAATGTTTGCTCCCGCTTTTGCCCACCCCGGACATTATGTGCCCTACGACATTGACATCAAGACGGAAAGCCAAATGTTCATCAACGACATTCCAACCCGTCGCGATTCCACATTATCATCCTACAGTCACTACCAAACCCCACCAGCTGCCGGTAACATCTACCCAACTGATGACTGGATACAGAAAGACTACTTCGAGCGCCGCGAGTCCTACATCGAGGAGCCCCTCGAATTCCCCATCTTTGATTACACCACCTACGGTAATTTCAGCCCATCTCACCAACCGTCAATTCAAGTCGAAGACTGCGATCGACATCTTCTTAGCCATTTTCTCGAGAACATCATGCCCACAGCTTTCCCAGTTCTCGAGACCAATCAGCCAGGCGCAGCGCAGCGTGATGTCATCATACCCGCACTAGAATCCAACAAAGCATACCTGCACTGCTGCATGAGTATATCCGCGCTACACATGAAGACTACTCAGGGACTTGTGGGAGAGCAGATTGACCAGGACATCCAACGGCATCGCGGTGAAACAGTCCAGCAGCTTACCGCGGCGCTCTACAGCGACAGCCAGCATGGTCAGACTCTTGAGGCCGCGCTTGGCATGATCTTTTTCCAATGTTCAGTTGGCCGCTTCAACGACGGCCTGATGGATATCCCATGGCATGGTCATTTTGAAGCAGTCCAGAACCTCGTCCACAGGCTCGAGCTTCCTGCGCAGATGATTGCGATGAACGGACAAGCACATGCTCAGCCTCCATTCAACATGACACTGGCTTCTTGGATCGACATTCTCGGCGCTACCATGCTGGGTAGGACTCCTTCTTTCGCTGACACTTACCGTGAGAAGCTTATCGCTGACGCATCTTCTGGTCTCGCCGAACTCATGGGCTGTGAAGACCGCATCATGTATCTGATTTCGGAGATTGCTTGTCTCGAGGCGCTGAAGAACGAGAACATGGACGTTGTACAGCTCTGCGCACATATCAAGCTCCTCGGTGAGCAAATCAGCTTGACTGAGCCTCCCCAGGGATCGCTCAACAGCGCCTACAACTCTACCGGTGAAATTCTTCCCAGGCAACTTCGCCGCAACATGACCGCAGTGTACCGTTTAGCCGCCCGCATCTACTTGTGCAGCCTGGTGCCGGACTTCGACCGCACATCGCCCACCTTTGTCAACCTGGTTAGCGCTCTTTGCAAGGCTATGGAGTACATCCCTGCCGGTCCTGACGGATTCGACCGATCTCTTGTATGGCCACTCTTGGTCGCGGGCTCAATCTCAGTGCAGCAATCAGGATTCCGCAGCATGTTTGCGGAGCGCTCCGCCCTCTTGGGTGAGGCTGCAGACTTTGGCTCTTACGGAAGGGTCAAGAACCTCCTTGAAGAGGTATGGCGGGTCAACGACGACAACCTCGCGAAGGGCAACACACAGAGTGTCCACTGGCGGGACATGATGCGACAGAAGAACTGGGACTTTTTGCTCATCTAAAAAGCCTGGCTCTTCTGCTGGTATGCATCCTGGTCTGTTGTCTCTCTTCGCGAACTTACATTCTCTCTGCGTCTGATGCTCGCCATACCTCTTCTTGCGATGACACGAAAAGCGTTTTGCTTATTTCTTTGCATATATTTTCTTCACCACGATACCCATTTTTGTAATTCGGATACCATTGGCTCGATGGGAGCAAGGTAGCATTCATAGGGCGTAGTAGCATCAACCGGATGGCGTTGGAAGGGACCTTACGGCTGACGATATCACGGTAGAACTTGGGGCCTGCTTGCCCTGGTAGTTCAGACGTGGAAAGGGGCACAGAGAGTGCAAGGGAAGCTAGCGCAGCACCCAGGCGCCTAACATGTATAGTAGAGTTGGATGGGGTTCAAGTGTGAGCGCCCATAGATGGAGGAGGAGAAATGAAGCTGAAACAAGCGTATCGCTCAACATTGCTACGCCTCCTTTGTGCATATGTGAAGATGATTGGCTACCACAATTCGAAAGGGCATCCCGCATACCCAGGTGTGTGGCGCGACAGTCGCTCGTTTCTGTTTGCTGAAGAGATGCCTTTCTAAATTTAGCGAGGAACATGGGGCGGACTGCGAAGCTGCAAGTCGACGCGTACAGCAATAGAGGACCAGCACGACGACGTTTCCAGATCACCATCCAAGTCGGAAGAAGTTTGCGGTGGGTGCATGCATCTAGGCTTTGTGTCGACTGCATCGCGTCTCACGCTGTCGAATACGGGTCCGTACACGACTATCATTTTGCCGTCGCCGTTATTAACACCTAGACTCGTATTCCGCCCCCACCCATTTGTATAGACGTACCGTCCCGCCTGCATCGCGCTCTCAACGTCCGAACTCCACCTTCCCAATGGCGTCTCCGGCCACGATTCCCTTCACCTCAGTCGACACCACAACGCGGCAGCCAGCTAAGGATGAGGTCGAGTCGCCGAGCATCTCGAGCACAAATGCGCTTGCCCGCTACGAATACGAGGCGGGCCATGGCAATGCCACAACCGGTACCAAGATCCTGATGGTGGAGTGGGAGGACGACGACACAACGCGGGGAGTGCGGGGAGACTGGCACATATCGTGGGACGGCAGCACGCGTGTTCTGCCCGCCAACGATCAACCTGCCAACGACGTGAACCGCATGTACTTCCTGCTGCCCCCGGGAGTCGCGGTACCTACAAGTGTCACACTCACGCTACGACCACAGGACGCTAGTATATCGCCTGTGGTCTGGCATACCAACCCTCTGCCCGCTTTGTTTCCCCCTGAACTAGGAGCATCGGCGCGTGCAGCGGGGAAGAAGGGTGTTTTGCACACTATCTGGGCGAAGAAGAGGCTACAGGTCCTGCAAAAAGAGATTGAAGCCGAATCGCGTAACAACGTCGAAGGCGTTGGCCTGCTCATGGTGGTGCAGGAGAAGGAATGGATCGAATCAACTTTTGGTGTAAATGCCAAACCGGCGGGTCTCAGTATCTCGCTGGGAGAGCCCATGTTAGCCCCGATGAAGGGTCCAGCTAGCCCACGATCACCAGGCGGTGGACGGCTGATGGACAAGCTGGCAGGCCTGCGACTAGGTACGAGCGATAAAGACCTTACTCCCAGCAGCAGCACGCCAGGCTTTTCCAATCCTCTATCGCCCGAATCCTCGGATATTGCTATTAGTTCATTTTCCGTCTTCAAAGGAGCAAATCCTTCCGCACTTGCTGCAAAGCCTCCACAGCAACCACAGTCTCAGCCAGCAGCGCCGCCTCGCAAGGTCGCTGCCCAGGCCCCCCCGCAGTTCATCACAGAACAGCAAGGCGCTGGTATGATGGGTTCGCTGAACGCCCTATCTGGCCCTGCGCCTATCTTTCAATCACGGGGTGTATCTGGACCTGCAGACGAGGATGACAAGGACGACGGGCTATTCGCTCTACCTATAAGTCCGAGAAGTCCTGAAGTGGGAAAGAGTCCGTTTTCATTCGCGGCAAACGAGACGGCTCCTTTCTTGAAGGAGGAGAGTGCTGTTTAATAACGTGGTAGATGGATTCACGGGTGCTTCAGAGTGTGGTATGGGTGCACTGTGTTAGTCAAAGGGACAATGTGGCCCTGTTATGAACGTGATACCTAGGCGGCTTTCTTGCCTCTGCGAGAATTCATTGTAGTTGGAATCAACATGAGCGAGATTTACATCATCACAATTGCACTGATGCGACATGAATGCAGTGGGCTGGATGTATGCTGCGATTGTTTGAACACTATGCACGCGCACTCAACAGAACTTTTAGCTTGGGGCCACAAGTCCGAACTTGTCGAAGCATACAGTTACCAACTGTGCTTGCTGGTGGTTTTCAGTGATTTACAGGTGTAATTGTACATGTCGGCGGCAGACGATGTGAAGGTGGCTGCACGTGCTAGGCAAGCGTTACCAAGGCGCTAGAGTGCATCGCTGACGAAAGTTCCCGACGCGAACTCCGGCGCAACTTCCACGGTACGAGTCGCAAAGCTCTCAACACCTCCACCCGCGTGTCATCCTCCGTCGCATCCCGCCTTCCCTCAACCACAAGACACGCTACATTGATACAAACCTGACGCGCGACACAATGTTGGCCACGGGACGCGGCAGCATTGCCCAGATACATTACACTGGAGAAGAAGCTGCGGGTGAGATCAACAAGCTCCTCGGCGCAGTTGTGAGTACTACCCCACCTGATCGCGACACTCGTGCTGACCATGTACAGGTAGAGAATGAAGACGATTTCGAGAGATGGGAGGCGCTCGTCACTCGTGCCTCTGACCTCGAGGGCGGCGTCACCCGCAACTCCAGCCCATCCGCCATCGAACTCGTGCGCAACGTATACGACTGCTTCCTCACCAAGTTCCCGCTGTTCTTCGGATACTGGAAGAAGTATGCCGACCTCGAATTCTCTATTGGCGGCACCGAGACTGCGGAGATGGTTTATGAGCGCGGCGTCTCTTGCATTACACCCTCAGTAGACCTGTGGGCCAATTATTGTACCTTCAAGATGGACACGTCGCATGACAACGACATCATCCGAGAGTAAGTCTTGCCTTTCCTCCCCTTCCCCACCCCCTCCCGATTCGGAGGCTCAATCTCGCCGTAGCCTGCGGGAAGTCGTGCGCAGTCTGGCGCTGCGTTTTCAGAGTGATACAGTCTCGCTGCATACCGTTTGATGCACCTCCTCATTGCCCCGTTATAATATGCCCCACGAAAGAGCGATATGGTACACCAGAGGTCTAGAGTCGATGGCCTTGCCGCCCCGTTGTTGGCATGATAGGTTACTTTGCAGCATCACCCCTTCCTATCCCTCCCCATTGTTTTGTTTCGAAATACTGACCTAATAGTCTGTTCGAGCGCGGTGCCCACTTCGTTGGTCTCGACTTCCAGAGCCACCCATTCTGGGACAAGTACATCGAGTTCGAAGAGCGCATCGGAGAGCCAACCAATGTTTCCAAGATTTACAGCCGTGTTCTACACCTGCCCATCTATCAGTTCGCACGATACTACGAAAAGTTCTCCGTCCTACTTAACAACAGACCAGTCGATGAGTTGGTCGACTCCGATACCCTCAGCACGATGAAGAACGCGGTTCAGCTGGAGAACCAGGGACAGCCCGAGAAGCCAGTGCTTGAGGTGGAGCGACAACTGCGTACTAAAATTCACGAGTACTACTACGCTGAATACACCAAGACGCAGCAGGACGTGACGAACCGCTGGACCTTTGAACAAACAATCAAGAGGGCTTACTTCCACGTCACAGAGCTCGAAGATGCAGAGCTCGAGAACTGGCGCAAGTATCTCGAGTACGAAGAGAAGCAGGGCGACTTCGAGCGTACCTGCTTCCTGTATGAGCGCTGCCTTGTTGCTTGCGCGCTCTATGACGAGTTCTGGCTGCGATACGCCCGCTGGATGTTCTCGCAGGGCAAAGAGGAGAACGCGAGGATCATTTATATGAGGGCCAGTTGCATATTCGTACCCATCTCGGCTCCTGCGATACGCCTGAACTGGGCTCGCTTCGAAGAGAAGCTTGGTCGTATTTCCGTTGCTCGCGATATATACTTGGCCATGCTCGACGAGGCCCCCGAGCACACCGAGACCCTTGTTGCTCTGGCGGGTGTAGAGCGACGCCACGAAGGCAACGATGCTGCGGTCCGCCTCTTAGAGGAGCACATAGGCCGTTCAAATAACCACATCGGCGGCATACTAGCTGCTGAACAGGCACGCATACTCTGGCAATGCAAGGGCAGCGTCGATGAGGCTCGCCAAGTGTTCAAGGACAAGCACGAGCGATTCCCGGACTCGCGCGAGTTTTGGGTCAAATACCTTGAGTTTGAAGTCGCACAACCTTCGCCTGATCAGGAAGAGGCTCATACTCGGATAAAGGCTGTTCACGAGCTGATGCGCACCAAAGCACACTTCTCACCAGAAGTCGCAAAGGAACTCTCGCACTACTACATGGCTTACCTGATGGATCGTGGAGGCAAGGACGTAGCCGAGGAGTATATGCAGTTGGATAAGGATGTCAACGGGTATGTATCATCTGCTAAGAGCGACTCCTCCCAAATCCCTCCCCAGAAGAAACGAAAAGGCCAGCCTCACAATGCAGCAAACAAACGTCAGCGCAAATAGTTGTGCGTTAGGTCTCTTCAGCACAAGGCTGCGACGCGAGTTGCTAGTCGCATCATGACAGCGCTCTAGTGTTCATCATACCCCTTTTTGAACTTTTTAGTATTTACCATTCTTCTGCACCCACACGACCACTAGCAAAACGTAATACACCACACTTCTCGTTATCTTGTTGTGCTTGCTGACAGTGTGTGTTGGTTGCAGTGCAAAGCAGGTCGAAGACATTGCTGCAGCTCCTCTTGTTACGCCTTCAAAGCCTAGTCACCGAACCCGCTTCTAGGAGTGCGACAGTATCTTGGTATGAATCTCTCCAAATCTCCTTCGCATTGATTTACTGACCGTGATGCCCAGACGAGGTGTGCTTACCCCCAAATTGCTTGAGCTTTTCGCTTTGTTCGAATATTGCGCTCCAAAATAATGTCTGGTCAGCTACGCCATGAATGATATCGGTACAGAATGACCTGATGCGATGCGACATCGAAGCCAATACCTTTCTCAAGGGTATGTTTCAACTCTGGATAGGCCCGCGTGGTCCATGCTATCTCATAGGTAATGCATATTGCACCTTTTCCTTTGTTAGTTCTGTTCGCACTGTAAAACTTCTGGCGTTGTATTCCTTTTGACAAGATATTGGTGATATGAAAGGGAGATGCTCGTAAGAGACGTCGAGTTTGCTTGGGTAACGTCAAGCTGTCAGGCTGCTCATATCGAGTTGCATATGTACAAAAGATTATCAACGAGACATTAAAGATCATTCACGAATTTCATGCACAGTGAAGTTCTTATTCATGTGAACCATCTGTATTTGAGGTTATTTGTGAACCATTGGCATCGCCCAGTTAGCACGAGGAACTTACTCCTCACACATTTCTAAACGGCGAATCCACCACTGTTCTTCTGTCTAGGCTCACCAGCAGCTTCAAAGGTTCCGTTTGTCAAGCGTCTCAAACCCTGCGCCGTACTTGAACCAGGCGCAACCCAGGTAACATTGCTTCCCAGCTCCTTCAAGAAAGCCGTGGTTCCGTTATTAAACCCATACTCGAAGCTCACTTGCGCAGGCACCAACTGGTCATGAATTCTTGGCTCAGCCAGTGCCTCCGCCGTCGTCTTCTCCCCATCCAGAATATGTATCAAGTTCTGGATGGTAGCTGTGATGATGCGACTGCCGCCCGCAGCGCCAATAGCAACGTAGAAAGCATTGGCAATAGACGACGAATTGAGGTGTTCGACAATAACAGGGGAGATGGATGAGAGAGGACGTTTCCCAGGACGAACAAAGTTCGCAGGCGACGGGATATACCCAAAAGCATTCGTCGTGTTCGGGATGCTGAAATCGTTCATTTCATTGTTCATGATGACACCGGTTTCTGGCACGACGAGCTTGCTTCCGAAGAGCAGATTTACGGTTGTCGTTAGTGTGACGGCCATGCCGCTCTTGTCTGCCGTTACAATGTGGCTTGTTCCAGGGGTTTCGAGGGATTCGAGACCAGCAGGGTTGTAGTAGGACACGTCGAAGGTCTTTGTGTCGGAGATCTTGGAGCGAATCTCTTTAGCTGTGGCTTCGGAGATCATCTGCTCCTGATACGCGTCTATGCCGTCGAGGAAGAGGGGATCACCTAGTTCGGCGCGCATGCCGTAGGCAAATCTCATGCTTTCGTCCAGGCGGTGGGTGGTTAGGTTGATGTTTTCCGGGTTGCCAACCTCGGAGTAGCCTTCCATGATCTTGAGCGTTGCGAGGGCAACTTCACCGCCTGAAGGGGCGCTGCAGGCTGTGAGCTTGTAGTCGTGGTAGTTTATGGTGGATGGCTTGCGAATGGCAACGGTGTAGTTGGTAAGGTCATCAAGGGTCATGGTTCCGTTGGCGGCTTGGAGAGCCCGGATCGTGGCTTCTGCTATGGGGCCACTGTAGAATGCATCTGGACCGTCCTTGGCAATGGTCTCGAGTGTGTCAGCATAGCGCTTCCGCGTAATTGTCTCATTGAGCTTGAGAAGACGTCCTCTCGGCGCAAAATCAAGGGCAAACTCAACATCATCGACCAAGAAGTTGGAAGATGAGGTAGCGGAAGCCATATATTTGACGAGATCTTCGTTGACTCTCCAGCCATTTCTTGCGACCTTGACAGCTGGGGTGAGGACGGTGGCCCATGGCAAAACACCGTAGTTCTCGTGAAGATGTTGAAGACCTCGCAATTCACCAGGGACTCCGGAGGCAAGGCCACCATTGATACTGGCATCTGTGTTGTTCTTGTACATGTCTTCAAATGCAGCGGCTGGGGCCGTCTCACGGAAGTCAATGAACTCGTATGTGCCGTTTGGTGCTCGTACAAGCATGAAACCTCCTCCGCCAATACCTGTGGCTGTTAGTACCTAGGTAGGTCGGATTGCATATGTAATACTCACCAGAATGGTACATGCCGACAACGCCTACACATGCCACAGTACCGACCATGGCATCCGCAGCATTTCCACCCAGCTTCAATAACTCAATACCGATATGGCTGCAGATGTCACTCTCTGATGCGACAGCACCCAACTCTCCCTCTTTCAGAATGGGCTGCGAAGGGTAATCGGAAGACCATGATTCCCCGCTCTTGACCGGAGTACCCAGGACACTTTGCAGCGTCAAGAGACCCGTGAAGCACTTGACCAGCGATCCGCGCGTCATATTCGCAGCAGCACAGTATCGACGCAGAGAAGGAGGAAGAACAAGCTCACCAATGCTACGAGACGTGAACCATGGGGTCATCGTGCAGGTTATATACTAGCCGAAGTGGGCTTGGTGGATCTAGTGTTGTGACCGTACCTGATGATAGCCACGGCAGTAACTTGTAATGGTAAGTGCTGCGACGAATTGGGAAGCTGCAAAAGCCGAAGGCTGGGATTGCGTGCGAAGCGGAGGAAATGCATCATCGTGAGCGGGCCCGGTGATGGTGGTCAGGTAATATTGTAGTTGTGAAATGGGGAAGTTTGGCCAATTGAAGTACTCGAGATAACGAAGCCGGGCCGTTGTTGGTCGGAGATAGCCGCGGTCGATAACGGCGGTCGTATCGGCAAGTTTGTATGAGCAAAGAGAAACATGGACGGATAATGTCTTGTCCAACTTCGAATGCAAACTGCATGCAGCACGAACTGAGTAATAGTCGTGGTTCGTTGAGAGCGTTTATCGATATGTTCAGCTAGGTCTCGGGGCCAAATCTGGCTGTAGATCGTCAAATGATATAATAGTAGCTACGTTCAATTTTCAAACTAGTCTTGCTGAAGGAAAGGCGCAAGTTTTTCCTGCTGGACTCGTGCGGGACATGGCAGTAAGACTGGGTGTGGGTGATAATGGGAAAACGTGACACCGTGATGTAATCTGGAGCAGCTCGCGTCGCCTGCCTCACGCGTCTCCAGCTTTCTCCACAAGCACGTCGACCATCCGTTGCAACCCCGCGAACCACCCAATGGCGCCAAAAAGCAGTCAATCTACGCAGCCAAACTCGTCGCAGAAGGCCACGCAGCCGACCATCTCCAGCTTCTTCACAAAAAAACCGTCGCAGACGCCCAAGTCCACGCCGAAACCCGTTCCTAAGGCGCCTTCTCCACCTATCAGCAACGACGCAAACCAAGATGACGACAACGACGACGAAGATGGCCTTCCGGTCTCGCAGTCTATTCCCGTTCGTAAACGCGCAATACACGAAGACGATGCTCAGGATACCGATCGCTCCTCTCCCTCCAAGCGCGTTAGATTCGAGAAAGGCGACTCGCCGCGACAGACGTCTGCATTAAAGCTTCCAAAGATCACTGATAGGACCTCCAAGTTCCTGTTTTCCTCGTCACCTCCCGCACGGGATGAGAGCCATCAAAATGACGACGAGGATGCGGCGCTTTCGCAGAAGCAGAAGGAGAGGCTACACGAGAAGTTTGTCAAGAAGCTGGGTCGACCAGATAGCTTTGCCGAATTAAGGAGGCGCAACAAGATTATAGCTGAGGACAATCCCAATGCTAATGGCGAGGAAGGCGACGGTGAGGAGGACGGGGAGGAGGATGAGCCTCCCCAGAAGCCCACCAAGGGAAAGAAGAGCGTTGCGACGAAGAAGGCGAGCAAGCTGACACCCATGGAGATACAATATTTGGACATTAAGCGGAAGCATCTGGACACAATCATAGTCATGGAGGTCGGTTACAAGTACAAATTCTTTGGCGAGGACGCAAGAACTGCGTCGAAAGCGCTGGGTATCGTCTGTATACCAGGTAAGACCTGCGGTGTGCGAACTGTATGAGGCATACACTAACTTTATACGCCAATATTTCAGGAAAGTTCAGATATGACGAGCACCCCTCAGAAGCACACCTCGACCGATTCGCATCTGCCAGTTTTCCTACACATCGTCTGCAAGTCCACGTCAAACGTCTCATACAAGCGAACCACAAGGTTGGTGTAGTGCGGCAGCTAGAGACAGCAGCGCTGAAAGCGGCTGGTACCAACAGAAACGCTCCATTCGTACGGAAGCTCACCAATCTCTACACTAAAGGCACCTATGTGGACGATGTCGAGGGTTTGGAGGCACCTACTGAGGGCTCAGGTGCTGGCGTACAGTCGACCGGATATCTGCTTTGCATTACCGAGAGCAATGCGAAAGGTTGGGGTACCGATGAGAAAGTTCAGGTCGGGCTGGTGGCCGTCCAGCCTGCGACTGGCGACATCATCTACGATGACTTCGAAGACGGCTTTATGCGCAGCGAGATTGAGACACGACTGCTCCACATTGCACCCGCCGAGTTTCTTGTAGTCGGCCATCTATCCAAGGCTACAGAGAAGCTAATACAACATCTATCAGCTAGTAAGACCAACGTTTTCGGAGACAGGTCGCGGGTTGAGAGAGTGGAAAAGCCGAAGACGATGGCTGCACAAGCGTACAGTCACATCTCGAACTTTTATGCAGGCAAGATGAAGTCTAGCCAGGAAGTTGACTCTGACAAGCAAGGTGCCATCCTAGACAAGGTACATCAATTGTCAGAGCATGTCACGATATGTCTCTCAGCGATGATCACATATCTTAGCGAGTACGGGCTGGAACATGTTTTCGATCTCACAAAGTACTTTCAACCTTTCAGCGCTAGATCTTACATGTTGCTGAACGGCAACACTCTATCTAGTCTGGAGATATACCAGAACCAAACAGACTACACTTCGAAAGGCAGCTTGTTCTGGACCATGAACCGGACAAAGACTCGCTTTGGGCAGCGGTTGCTGAGGAAGTGGGTCGGCCGGCCGCTGATAGACAAGGAGAAATTAGAAGAGCGCATAGCAGCGGTGGAGGAGCTCAAGGAAGGCGACAACACCATACCTGTCGACAAGCTGAAATTCGTGCTTGGAAAGATCAGAACTGATCTCGAAAAGGTGCTCATTCGCATATATTACAAGAAGTGTACAAGGCCGGAACTGCTGGCAGCTTTGCAAAGTCTCCAGGAAATATCAAGCCAATACCTGTCAGCGAAGACACCCGAGCAGAGCGGTTTCGCTTCCTCACTCCTAAGCGAAGCAGTCTCGAACGTACCGAAGATATACGATGATTTGAACAACTTTCTAGAGCGTATCAACGCTCGAGCCGCAAAAGATGACGACAAGTACTCGTTCTTCCGCGAAGAGCATGAGGCGGAAGACATCAACGACCTAAAGTTGAGCATCGCCTCTGTAGAAGACGACCTCAACACACACCGAAAGGATGCGGCTGCGAAGCTGGGGAAGAGCCAGGTAGTCTACGTCACGGTTGCTGGAATTGAGTACTTAATCGAGGTCAAGAGGAAGGCACCTGAGGAGAAGAAGGTACCTGCTTCGTGGCAGCAGATCTCAGCCACCAAGACTACCTTGCGTTTCCACACCCCAGAAGTCAAGCGCATGCTCCAAGAGCGAGACCAGTACAAGGAGTCACTTGCGGCAGCATGCAGAAAGCCTACATTGGTCTGTTAGAAGAGATATCGTCCAAGTATCAGCAGCTTCGAGATTGCGTAGCTTCTCTAGCAACACTCGACGCACTCCTTTCTCTAGCTACCTTGGCGAACCAGCCTGGTTATGTGAAGCCTACTTTCACAGACGACATTGAGCTCAACATCACTGGTGGTCGGCATCCCATGGTCGAGCAACTACTCCTCGACAACTACGTTCCCAACGACCTTTCCCTCTCACATGACTCTACGCGCGCCCTCCTTATAACAGGTCCCAATATGGGTGGCAAGTCCTCTTACGTGCGCTCTGCAGCTCTAATCGCCATCATGGGCCAAATCGGTTCCTACGTTCCAGCGGTCGAAGCGCGACTAGGCATGTTAGACGCCGTCTTCACCCGTATGGGTGCCTTTGACAACATGCTCAAAGGCGAATCAACCTTCATGGTCGAGCTCAACGAAACCTCTGATATCCTCAAATCCGCAACACCCCGTTCCCTTATCATCCTCGACGAGCTGGGTCGTGGTACATCAACCTTTGACGGTGTCGCCATTGCGGAAGCAGTGCTTGACTACGTTATCCGGGACCTACAGTCGCTCACGCTGTTCATCACGCATTACCAGCATTTGGCCAAACTCTCCAGTCGCTTCTCCAATGGTGAGCTGAAAAACGTACACATGCGCTTTGAAGAGCAGAATGGCGGAAAGGAAGTCGTCTTCCTATATGAAGCTACAGAGGGTATCAGTCATCGATCATACGGCTTGAATGTAGCGCGGTTGGCAAGGGTACCGGAGAAGGTCATCGATGTGGCCGGGGTCAAAAGTGCGGAGTTGGAAGAGAGTATGGGGGCGTGTAAACTGGGGAACTTGTAAGTCGCGTCAAGACAGAGGATGGACGGAGTCAAGGACTTGTGCTAACATTGAGTAGGTCGCGCATGGTGAAGGGCTTGCTGACTGATGAATCGGAAGCAAGTCTCGACAAGCTTGTTGAGGGTATTGAGCAACTGTAAAATGTTGATATGTACTTGTATTATATAGCTGAGGAACGGGCTCTCGGTGGAAGGGATGGATGGAATCAGCACGCGTCTGATGACGGTGCGTACGGAAAGCCGTTCTGTGTGTATTAGCAAGGTGTTGCCACCCTATATAAGGAAGTAACGTCGTGGAGGAGATTTTAGCACCCATTAAGTTTCTTCCTTGTATAGGGTGTAGCAAAGATGCCTGTTTAGGTTCTGATGGTGTTTCAACGTTGCGCAAACGAAGCACATGGATCTTGATAGAGTCACATAAAGTAAGACACTTGCTTGCTTGTGAAGTATTGTCATTGTTTCATTTCATGACTATCATAATCGTATGCATGTTACCATCATCGTGGTCATAGTCCATGGCCAGCGGATCTCCTGTCCTGCCGGCTCATTGCATACCCTTCATTATGCTGAAGCCTTAGCTCAACAGCTTAACCAAGGCGGGTCTCCTTGTCCTTGATGGGAATGTCGGAGCCGGTGGTGCTCTTGTACTGGCCACGGATGAAGTCGCTAATCTGTTCGTCCTTGGCTTGTTCGACGGCCGACTCGTTATCTTGAGGACCGGCGCCCATGAACTTCTCTTGGACGAAGTCGACACCTAGAGTAAATGTTAGCATCTGTCGCAATCACAACATGTCGGAACCCAAGGGTTGACGTACCCTTGTCGAGGTAGTCCTCGTTCTTCTCGCTCTCCTTGCCGCCGCCAGCAGCAGAGTTCAGCTTGTCGCCAATGCCGCCGAGGAAACCACCGGAGCCAGAGGACTTCTGCTCAGAACCTTGGCCTTGGACGACCTGCTCGTTGACGGATTGGCCTTGGCTGTTGCCGCTGCCGGTAACCTTGTTGAGGAAGTCCATGATGTTTGTTGTTGTTTGTTGGAGAATAGGTAAGATAAATAGGCAATCACAGTAGTAGGAATTGAAGGACGTTGTATGAGATTGTTGTGAGTTGTAAGCTGAATGGAATGGAGGAGAGAGCTATTTATGCAGCTGATTTACTGGCAAGGATGATGGTCTTGGAAGCGGGAGCAGCGATGGGTTAATCAAGATCTAGTCCCTGGTGACAGAATCTTGGTATTGAAGCTAAGCTGGCTTGATAGGCGTGTATTGCAGGCTGGGGTTATGAAGCTACGGGTGGTGTACCTGATGCGTAGCTGCCCCGCTTGCTGCGCGCCTACGTCATCCGAAGCTCGGAGACCCCGCCAACGCGGAAATTGAAACTAGTGCTATCGCGAGGGGGGACGTTCCGCCATCATGACTTGCACGTGCGAGAAATCTTGCCATTGCGGGTTTTGTTGCTTCTTCTTTGAAATTCTGGACCGGATTGACGCGTCTCTACCATTGTTGTCATCGCCATGATACCAATCACCATCATCACAGGTTTCTTGGGCTCAGGAAAAACAAGTAAGTTGTAAATTTCAGTCACAGGTCTTGCAATGCCCCCCCACAACACGAAATGAGCGCGTTCTGTTGAATTTTAACAAGAGAGCAAGGACAGAGAAATCACAACCTCATACTAACAGCCTTGCAGCGCTGATCCTGAACTTGATACCTCAACTCCCTAAAACCTACAAGCTCGCACTCCTAAAAAATGAATACGGCGACGTCAAAGTCGACACAGCACTCGCCTCCTCGGCCGCGATATCGGGTGTACAGGAACTCCTCAATGGATGCATATGCTGCAATCTTGTCGGGCAGCTCTCCGACGCCCTCGAAACGCTCGCCAATGATGTAAAACCCGACCGTATCGTCATCGAGACCTCGGGCTCTGCATTTCCAGCAACACTAGCCATGGAAGTAAATCGGCTGAGCAGGGAGACGGGAAAGTATGTCCTGGATGGTGTCATGAGCGTGATTGATGTAGAGAACTGGAAGGGATACGAGGATACAAGTTACACGGCCAAGATGCAGGCAAGATACACAGATTTGATCGTACTCAACAAGCACGAGCTGGTCAGCGAAAGACGGTTGGAGGATGTGGAAGATGCAGTGCTAGCGCTGGAGGTTGAGCCACAAATACCCAGAACAAAGAGTAGGAAAGGGTGGGTGGATAAGGATATTGTCTTTGGGCTGGATGCGAGGTTGGCCGGAGTCACCGAAGAGAATGGAAGCGCGCATGCACATGAGCATGATCATGACCATTCCAGCGAAGTTGAGGTTCTTACTGTTACACTGAAAAGCAAAGATGGGAAGGGTAGTGTGGACACGGTGAAACTAGCAAAACTCCTCGAGGATCCAACGAAAGACGAAGTATACCGGATAAAAGGCATCCTATACACCTCCACTCCACCAAAGTCATCAGATACTGAGGCGGATTCCCATCAAAAGATACCAGAGGGACGAGCAAGATACATCCTGAACTGGTCGTTCGGGCGCTGGACCTTTACAACTGTACCATTACCAGCCACCGGGAGCTCCAGCGAGGAAGATTTCACGCTAAGGTTGACGGTCATTACTGCGAGATATGAGTCGACTAAATGGAAGAAGCAAATTGAGTCAAGCGGGCTGGTTGCATTAGAAGGCAATGCTGAGGGCTCCTTGACAGTTGAGAAGATAGCGTGAGCGATGGACGTGAGAGTTTTTGATATACCCAGCCCAGTATTTAGACAAACTACATAGAATAGATTACTACATATACAGGATGATGATTTTGCATGCTCCGAGTCTAGATGTTGTCCCCATTCGCTGCAAGCGCCATCAGCGACGAACGTGGACTTACAATAAATCAGTAGAGGGCTTACTGTTATAATTCACGATATCTGGGCAGCAGAATTGTGTACACTTGGAGCGGGACTGATAAGAAGACTCTAGGTTCCGTGTTGAGTGTAGAAAAGATCTATCATAGGAAAAGACCAACCGGACTCCACTCTATGCAGTGCTTGTCATTCATTCATGCGTAACATCCCATGCGCAGCTCTTCGTCCCAATACCATGCCTCTATGCACCCGTTGCCCTCACCAATCATCATGTCGTAAGAGGGGTATCGAAAGTGTGAGACATGCCGTTCATGACTTTGTGTTCGCTTGCTTTTTTTTTTGAAGCTCCAACTCAATCATCTCAAGGCGAGCGGGGTTCTTGGAGAGCTTGCTCAGAGCACCAAGCAGACCTGTGGTGCTGGTTAGCAAAAATCCTGTTGGGCATTCAGAAAACAAAACTTACCAGTTGCGCCGTTGGGCAATGTCGACATGGCAATCGAGTTGCGATCACCCACGGTAACAGTCTGGACATTGGGAACTTTCCAATCCTCCTTCAACTTCTCCGCCCATCGGAAGACACCCTCATCACTTCGGTCGTTGCCAGCTGCAAACACAAAGTCGGGTCGAGCCGTCTCTGGGTATTTGCTGAAGATATACTGCGAAGCAGAGGCCTTGTCAAAGTCAATGGGCTCGATGACAACCGAGTCCTTGGTGGGAACCGCCTTTATGCGTTGCTGCTCACACGCATCGTTAATGTGGTTCGCGCAGTCACCGGCATGTCGGCTTGCAGAGTCGTCCTTGTCGCTGGGTTTGTTGTAGTGGAAGATGATAGAGCAGTGGCGCTCCTCAACCCAACTACCTTCCACACGCTCGAGATAGTACTGCAAGATAGGCTTGACTGAGTCTTTCCACTTCACAGTCTTCTCTTCTTCGGGGAATTGAATCCATTCACTCGCGGTGGGCTCGCGTAAGAAGCAACCATTCTCCGCGATGAGACCGAGACCTCGTACGCGGTTAAAGATGAGCTCGGTCTCTCGAACAGTCCGACCAGTCATAACGTAGACAACGTTCTTCTCATCAGAAACAAGGTCGTTGAGAACGACGATGACACGCTCAGTGCTTGCCAAGATGGTGTTGTTAACAGATCCGTAAGATGCGAGTGTACCTTCGTAATCAAGTACAAAGAGTCGTCGTTGAGATTCCTGGTAGGTACGGGCAAGGTTGCTGGAAGAAAGACGGGGAATGGACATGGTATCGCGCTTGAACTGTTCGTCGTGGACCTTGGCTAGATAGGTACTCAGGTTTTTGACCCAGAAATCGCCGGTTTGGTGCATAACCGTGTCGCGCAACTTGGTATATCTCCGTTCCTTCTCAGAGTCGGTCATCTCCAAAGCGACCCGGAATGCTTCTGCGATGCTGTTGTAGTCCCATGGATTTACGGCTAGATCGGCTCCTTCAAAGACCGAGGCACTTCCGGTAAACTCACTGAGAATGACAGGACTGTGCTTCTTTTCGCTCGCACGGCCGTCCTGGCAGATGACAAACTCGTGGCAAGTGAGGTTCATGCCTTCGCGAAGACTTGTGATTGCGAGTGCGTCGGCGATGGAGAGAAGCGCGAGATACTGCGAGAAAGCAATGTCTTGCCTTAGGAAGATGAGAGGGTTGTGAGTCAAGGTCGAGTGAACTGCATCGATACGAGTGACAATCTCGGAAACGGTTGCAGCGAGCTCGGTGTCCTCGGTGGTGGATGTGGCGACTTGGATCATGACAACCTTGTCCCTCCACTCTGGGTTCTTGTTCAAAAACAGCTCGAAGGCCAACAGCTTCTGTCGGACACCACGAATGTTGTCGAGCTTGTCACGAGCGACAATAACCTTTTTGCCCTCGTATCGCTTCTGCATGGTCGTGATCCACTCTAGAACTTCGGGTTCTTCACGTGCCAGGGCGAGAGCGCGAGGGTCAATACCAATGGGCGATGAGTGTACGTTGACAAAACGGTTTTCTAGCTGGACTCCGTCTTCGGTAGCCTCGACTGAGAGAATCCTGCTGCATGTCTGCAGGAAATGGTGGGCATACTCCGGTGTCTGAAATGCGACTAGGTTCGCTCCGAGCATGCCGTCAAGCAGCTCCTTGCGCGCAGCTAAGCAGCGGAATACCTCGGACGATGGGAAGGCAGTGTGGAGGAAGAAGCCAATCTGTGCATCTGGGAGCTTCTGGCGGATCATTTGAGGAACAAGACACAGGTGGTAGTCGTGAATCCAGATGACATCCCCGCGCTTGTAGTTTTTGACAACCTTATCCGCAAAGGCCTGGTTGACCTTGACATAGAATACCCATGAGTGATCAAGGAAGGCCTTGCTCTTGGGGTGATCGGGGATAATGTAGTGGAAGACTGGCCATAGGATGGTCTTGCAGTAGTGGGCGTAGTGGCCGTCAAAGTCCTTGTCGCTGACGAAGACGGTGAGAGCGTCATGCTCTTCCTCAAGTTTCTCGTAAATCTCCGTCTTCTTCTCCTCGTTCAAGCTGTCGGTAGGGAAGCCAATCAAGCCCACGCTTATAGTGTCGCTAATGCACTTGTTGTCAACTGCACAGCGTAGAGCGTTGGTAAGCCCGCCGTTGCCCTGGACAGCAGGCACAACGGTGTACTCGGTGGCCCATCGCGGGTCTGTTGTAGGCTTGCCGGCATGAGAGCCCTTCATGCGCTCCTTCTGGGCTTGCGCCCGCTCCTGTGCCTTGGCGTATTCCAGAATCGTGTCGGGTGGTGCTGGCTCGGCCCTCGACATGGGCTGGTTGAAGAACCGGCCGGTGGTACCCCATTCAGGGACATGGGCATCGCTACGTACCAGGCCCCGGGGGTCTGCTGGCTTGGGAAAGTGCGTGGCTGCACTGGGCAGGCCAGGGGTGAAGAAGTCTTCATGCTCGGTCATTCTCATAGGCGTCTTGGGCAGTTGGATATGCGTCGGCGGCGCGCGCTTAAGGAGGCTCTGGGGCTGCTCATCATCTGCATTTTTGGTAGCTGGTCGTGCACTGCCTGCACTAGTGGAGGAGGGCTCGCGGGCGGTCTCGTTCAGCTTTGGGGGAGCTGGTTGTGGTGGGCTTGGGGCGTTGGAGTTGGAGTTGGACTTGGACTCGTGGAAATCGACAGTATACGGTAGGAAACTAACTACATTAGATGAGGTGAAGGCGCAGAGCTGCAAGTAACAATCATGATGCGCTGTCTATCGATTGGATAAGCAGAAAGTGGTTACCTACAGGGAGACGACGTGGGTGGTCATGTTGGGCAGCAGTCTGGCGTCGGCGCCCGCTGGTCAGAAATTGTGGTTGTAGAAATGGCGTGGAGATTGTGAAAACAGATATAGGTGGGGGGAGCGGGTCCTGTACAACGGCTCGGAGGAGACGAGGTGAAGTTATAGAGGCGGTAGGAGCGCGCAGTGAAATTTCCGGTAGGTTCGATCGATCGTGAAGCTCGTCCAAGGGAAGCCAGACGTTAACTTTGGCGTGTCGAGTTGGCGGCCCAAGCAAGAAAGAGCTGTCAGAGGCCTAGGGGGAGAACAGGAAAATTCAGGATATCTGGCTGTTGTTCCTGATGAGGCGTGCGACATACGGCCAGGGACAACGTACTGGTTACTTTCATGTCCATGGCCGCAAATTGCAAGATTTCAGCCCCGCGGTATGACGTACAGCCACACCGGACAAGCACAGCGCGTTGCAGAGCTTTGTGGGCCTCTCCACAGCAATTCGTGCAGCGAATGACTCGATGATAATCATCTTTACGCAAGTTCCACGGAAACAAGTCGTCAGACGAATGTGCGCCGGCGCATCCTTTGCCAAAGCCTGACAGCTGCGGGAGCTTCCCATTTAGTCGCAAACCACACAGCCCCGCGCACCAATTAGAGAGGCTACGGCTCGTGCAACCGTTGGGGCTATCAACCATAGCCTGCTTCAGTCCTGTGCGCGCCGAATGCTCCGAAGCCAGTCACCCGTCTGTTCAGCTCGGGCAGCTTCCAGCTTCCATGTGAATAAGGTGCCATCTCGATGAGGAGTGGCGGGGAAAGTGTTGAGTCTTTTTGTAGCGCTTCGGCACCTTGCACCGTCATGGCATTTGCGCAGAATCCGATATTGCGCGAACAATCCGATGTTCGCCTACATCAAATTCTCCCGCGGCTCACTGACCCCACCTATTACTATATTTTTCATGCATGTGGACTGCAGACGCTCAGCAAACCAACCATCTAGAATTGGGCGTGTGAGAACAGATGAGAAGGTTGGAGAAACCTACTGCGTTCCAAACCTCGGCCTCAACTCCCCCAACATTTCGGTAGGACGTTTCATGAGGATACCGAGATATCATGCAACCTTGTACTGAGACCGAGACGTGACAGAAACTTCTCGCTTTACCCGGCCGTCCTCGTAAGCAACCGGCCGCAGTATATGCAAGATCATGATATCTTCTTGACAAGTCAGATACATTGATCATACTAGTGACAAACTGAACAGTTCAATCGGCATAGTCGCCGATGCGGCCATAAGAATGTGGTTCTGGCTGTCTTGAAAATATACGTACGCTGTCTTCAAACGTCATGTGATACTATACAGTCCAGAGTCAACCGGTCAAGACTTCACAAGCCAACAACCTGTTCAAATCCCAAAATTAAGCCCTCTTCTTCCCTTTTTGCTCACACTGTCACCCCGGGCACCCCCACCCCCAGTAGATACCCCGTCCTCACCAGCACAGGCAACACATTCAACGTATTGGTGACTACATCCTTGTCGCTCCAGCTCCCAAAGTCTAATATCCCTCTCGTCCCCATCTCACACCATGCCGCATAGCAATGCCCCAAATCACACAGCACCAACCCCAACACGATCCACCACCACGTCCTCCTATCGTCCACAACCCGCATCAACACGCCCTCTGTGAAAGCAAAGAAGAGGTATGCCGATGCGAGTTGGTCGTAGGCGATTTGTGAATCGGGGTGGTAGGCCGACGTCGACGGCATGAAGGTGAAGTACTGCGCTGGTGCCCAGTGGAGGTGGTAGACGCCGCCGAGGGCGAAGAAGGGTTCGAGATAAAGGTGCCAGAGACGGTATATAAAGGGCGTGTTTGGGGGCGCCATGGCTGCGCGTATGCGGTGTGGGTGCGAGGTAAGGCGTATGTAAGGCTTTGTGCGGTTGTAGAATCAGATCGCTCGTCCCGTTGCGCTAAGTTGGATCTGTGATCTCCACGATGTGACAGATGGTATACAAGCGATTGACAAAATCGCAAGTAAGCGCTGTTCCTTGTCGTTGAAACCTATTCAAGCAAGCACTCATGCGACAGCAACGAGAACAGCACTGTATGACGTAGTCTGAACAAGCGCATGCCAGGTTGTTAGTTGTCCCTGCCGGCAAGTTGCGGGCGGACAATAGAGTCGAGTCCGGTATTGGCGGAACTTGCGGAACATACCAACACCGCAATCGATAGTAATTCTACAAACTGCCTTATTGGGAAGTGCGAGCAGGGAACGGACTTCCGGTGCAGACATGCAGATGATCAAGTTTTCTCCGTCTTGATCCTGTTGGCCTGTTTCTCGTAGCAAGGCGATTGGCGTTGGGAACGGAGGGAATTGAGTAGTTGTGTCACGCGCGCGAGGTATGGCCGGCATGTAACACAGTATGCAGGGGATGTTGTACACGTACTTACTGGGAACTTGGACGCGGGAAGCGTTGTATAGGCGGTAAAACGGGTGGTAAGGTGATTAAGAACTTATTGACCCATTCAGGTCTGTTGTTCCAGCAACAGTGTGCATAGAACATCTGCATAGATTATAATAATACATACTCGCCAAATTTGACATCAACTCCAGAATTGTAAAGCCCCGTCACTTCTCCTTCTGGTCTTGCCTCATGCACATGTATCTCTAGCGTGCGCCGAAGAAACAGTGCACTCGTCTGACTCCTGTCACTCGGCACACCCTGAAGACAATCACCTTTGTACCGGCCATGCCCATCTCACAGCTTGGCATGCTGTCACGTTGCTCGCTGGCTATAGAGTAGCGCTGAAATTTGGACACTGTCCGCAAATCGTTGATTAGGCCATGACGATGCGCTTCCGACATTCAGTGGTTTGACGTCCTGAAGTCAAGACATACCGGCGGGATTGGGCAAGGGGCAGACGGCAGGACGGCAGCTGACCCTGCAGATTGTGAAGGGTACCGTGAAACCTGAGACAGACCATTTCCTCGGGTCCGCGGTCTGTATATCGCATACCCCCCCATCATTCCATCCTGCCCTCTTGCACATACACATTGTGAGGCCCAGCACCGCAGTGCAATGCGCCGCTCGCCAGCTGTGTAAACTTCGCTTCAGCGACATCGCCCATACAATGTTCAACAAAGTACCGCGCCGCGAGCTCGTTTGCTGCCAGCATGGTTCCACAAGTCCCTACAACCTTTGTGTCCTCGCCCATATCACGGTTTTTGCTGCTGGCCACAACATGGTATACTGTTCTGCCATCGTGCGCTCGTGGAATCAATTTCTGCGAATACAGAGCATCGCGTAGGGCGAGCGGATATGTGCTGATGTCGCCGGGGACGATAGTAGGTTCGGGGCGGCGATGGACCAGCTGGGGTGCGGTGGCCACCTGTAGCGGAGGCTGCGAAACTTGTGGATAGGGATGAGGTTGCGGGTATGCGTGAGGAGTTGCGGGCGTAGAGCCGCTGACGACGGAGGCAGGGGCCAAACGCGGTTGTTGCTGTTGATGCTGAAGTAGGAAATCGCGATGCTCGTCCAGTTGTTTCCTCAGTGCGTCGCTCGTTGTTTGAAAGATGCGCTCCTGGACGCCTGGACCGAGGTTGCGCGAATAGTGTCGCAGGTCGGAGCTGCAGTCGAGCTGCAAAAGGCGGTGCTGACGATCGAAGCTATGTGAACGTGCTGGAACTGTTGCTGTCATTTTCGGGGTTGCTGTTTGCACGACTTGACGCGGCTATATTAGATGGAGATGAAAATCTGATATGATGTGAATGACGCGGATATTCGCAGATCGTGGAATCTTAGAAGGCCCGGAGCCATTTCCTCCCGTGTTCACGTCTCCACGTGATATGGCGTGGCAGTATCACGACGCGAGCACTTGAGGCACGTGTCGTTGCTTCTGAGCCATTGTATCGAAAATTATTTTTGCTATGCATGCTGGTGCGTCGGTGTGCTGCGATATATCTGAGATTTATACGCCAGTTCTATATGCGGTATACGGGTCGTTATATGACGTCGCAGGATTGGTGGGCGTGAACATAGATAGAAACATGACGATCCTGCCGGGATACTCCTTCAACAAGATCGCGCTGAAACTCCACCAACGCCCACCATGAAACGCCATGACAACAAAAAGGAAAAATCATGCTTGCTTAGGGGAAACATCTTACAAGTGAAACCCGGATCTCCACGTAAACATTACATTGCCCAGTGAAAGCCATCAGCAAACCATATGCGTGTCATAATCGTCATGAGAAGCGGCCTGGACTCCGTATTTTGAGTAATACTACCACTTCATGAGGGGTGCAGGTGAAGCTTATTACACGCTTCATAGTCCGTTACCGAATGCCTGACGAACGTCGTGCTGAAGAGCCTCGTAGTACTCGCAGAGATCGGGGAAGGCTACTATCGCCTGTTTAACCGGGAAAGGGACATCGCAGACGATCTTGCGCCAGTCGTTGCGACGCTCGCGCACGACGTGAATGAGCTCCTTCATGCAGTTCAACGACATGACACACATTTTGCGAGCCCACTCAATGTCGATCGAGCCGTTGAGGTGCTCTAGATCTTGTGTAGTGGGGTTGATCAGTACTGACCAGGCAAAGTTGTCGTGTGAGGGAGACGATGCTACGGGCGGTGTGGCAGGCGTTCCTCCATAGGCCGCACCCACCTTGAAGTACTGAGCCCAGACATGATCAAGGTGCTTCGCGAAAGGGCTCGGTGGAACCTTGTTGCGGGAGTTACCTGAGTCAGACTGACCCTGACGGAAAGCCATCTCTTGTACAGCTAGATACTCGGGAACATCGGTCATCAATGGTGGAGATGTGTCAGCAGAATTGACTATGGGAGATGAGCGACGGCTTGAGTTGAATGACAGACGACCAGAAGTACGCCAGTTGTCAGACATCTGGCTAGTATGGGTGCTGCGACGTTGTGTATTGGGGTTGTTGAGGTGGTCGGCTCTGCTGGACTGCGTCTTTTGAGCAGAACCACCATACTGCTGAATAGCCTGCGGAGAAGCGAGAGTCTGGGAGATAAGGGAGGGCATGCCGTTTCTGTTGGCTGACATATGATGAGCTCGCTGAGGGGTTGTCGGCTGTGTGTATGTTAGAAACAGTTCCCTGGCATGTCTCTGGACTCAAGTAAGGCTCACAAGCTGCTGCTTGGCTTGTAAAATCTGGTTGTTGACTTGTCCTCGAGGTACAGTCATGGAATGGCCAGCGGCATTGTCGGAGCCCAGCTGCAACAGTGATCCTCCAGAGGGAGTGGATGAATCAGTTGACGCGCTTGCATGAGATCCAGCCTCTACCACACTCGGCGAGATATCAGACTGACCATCCGTCTGGAAGCGCACTGTTTGACCACTGCGATGTGGACTGCCGTAGTTGCCGATCATGCTACCTCCAATGACTCTGCTCTTGCTGGGCGTGTGCCTCTCGAGGACTGTCAACAACAAGATTTAAAAGCAAATGCAAGAGCAGATGACTGACCTGAGGTGATGAAGACATTGCTTACAGAATCTTGGCAACAATGGTGCGTTAATAGTGGATGCGAATGTGGGCGAGGTGCGAGCGAAGTGCGATGGTGGAGAGAAGAGGGCGGACGTAGTGTGGGTTGGCAACAGATGCTCCCGCCAAGCTAACAGCTATCACAATTAGGCATCCTAGAGTGGCCGTCTTGAATCTCACTCTCTATAAGGCGTTAGGAAGAGCTCGAAGTGGGATCAAGACACGCGACTTTCGTCGTGCCTTCTGTTTCATGGTACGCGTGGTGAAGGTGAGTCGACGTCCGGAAGAGGAAAGAGCGAAAACATGAGCGTGAGATAGGACCGAGTAAATAGAAAAGCGGACCCGAAATTGGCATGATACAGTGTCCTTAAGAAGCGTATCGAAACGACGTGTATTTATAATACCTGAGAGTGTGACACGGTCAAGGTAAGAGTGATCTATGGGTCTGGTCAGTAACGCAAATGCAAGTGGAAAACAGGGCGAAAGACAAACACATGTACTCTTGAGATTGTTGACACAAAATTTGATTTACTGAAGTTCCAAGTCTGTGAAGGCCAGGCCGTGGATGAGACGTGTGCAATGATTGCAATGGAATGACAGGCGCAAAACGAGCTGCAAGGAAGTGTCTGGAATATAGAGAAGAGTGTGTACGAGACCCAGATAACGAGAGGGTGCATAAGGTTATATACCGAAAGTGCAGAGTTCTGCATGTTGATTATTACTACAGACGTAGAATCTTGAAGTGAATTCTACTTTTCGTGAGGCTGGTGGTGCGGACAGAAATGTCGATCGTCAACACATGGCATAACATACATCAAGCCACCACGACAGTACCGAATTTTCTACCGTTGGCAGTTTCAGGATATCAACCTTGCGAAATGGTCACACGAGCTCGAAGAGATTGCATAAAGCCGACAATGTTCCTATGAAGCCGACTCGTTTGCGCCACTTTCCACAAGGCCAATGGCGTGAACGGGAGGAGTCGAGAACAACCGAATCGTACGAAGATTACTGCGCGAACATTCTGCATGTTGATGAATATATGGTGAGATGTTCATAGCAAGTGTTGACGTTTTCGACAATGATGTAGTGGCGTCGAAGGGCCGAAGAAGCCGGGATCGTCCGATGAACGGGTACCACCAATCACAGATTGGCAGTTGTCATAACCGAGGAAGCTTGAGTGGCGCTCTGGCGCTACAACTTCGATGATAGCAACACTTTGACCTTTAAGCCTCAGCCCGCACTCTCCACTCCACATTAGACACAATGGCCTCCATACGCGCTTTTACTCGTCTGGCTGCCCAGCGAACTGGTACGTATATCGCCCAGTATCACAACCTCAATTGAGCATTGCTAACGCTCCACGGCAGCCGTACGCCCGGCAGTTTTCTCTCGTGGCTTCGCCTCCGTAAACGACGTTCACGCCCGGGAGCCCATCTCCAAGGTCGCCGAAAAGATCGCACCCGATGCTTCGCGATCACCCATCCCCGAAAGCGAGACGTCGACAATCAAGGATCCCGAGGCCAGCAAAGATGCGAAGACCAAGACCTTCCACATCTACCGATGGAACCCAGATGAGCCCACGTCCAAGCCCAAGATGCAGTCGTACACGCTCGACCTGAACAAGACTGGACCCATGATGTTGGATGCGCTCATCAGGATCAAGAACGAGGTGGACCCTACTCTGACTTTCAGGCGGAGTTGTCGTGAGGGTATTTGCGGAAGTTGTGCCATGAACATCGACGGAGTCAACACACTGGCATGTCTTTGTATGTGGAATAGCATCGCACATGGGAGTTGGGAGGCTAATAGGATACAACAGGCCGCATTCCTACCGACACTACCAAGGAATCTCGCATCTACCCGCTTCCCCACATGTACGTTGTCAAGGACCTCGTACCGGACATGACTCTCTTCTACAAGCAATACCGATCGGTGAAGCCATACCTGCAGCGCACCACTGCCGCACCAGATGTACGTATATATTCTGAAGCTTGCCGAAAAGTTAGTACTAACAGTTTACCAGGGTCGTGAGTACCGCCAGTCCAAGGAAGACCGCAAGAAGCTCGACGGACTCTACGAATGCATTCTCTGCGCCTGCTGCTCGACATCGTGCCCATCATACTGGTGGAACCAAGAGGAGTACCTTGGCCCCGCTGTCCTTCTCCAGTCCTACCGATGGATCGCCGACTCACGAGACGAGAAGAAGGCCGAGCGCCAGGACGCCCTCAATAACAGCATGAGCTTGTACCGATGCCACACCATTCTCAACTGCTCAAGGACATGCCCCAAGGGACTGAACCCTGCGCTAGCCATTGCGGAGATCAAGAAGAGCATGGCCTTCACCTAGAGTGGTCGAGACTGTTGTAGTAGTAGTGGGAGAGTCACTGCATCATATTCGCTGTGTGTACCTGCGATTTTGCGCTGAAGTCGATATTTTTTGAGTCGGATTTGTACTTTTTGAGATGTATATGCAAACAAATTCAGGCAATTATTTCATTGTTTCTTATCTCTATCTAACCTTTGCTTAATACGAGTCTGTGAATCCTCACCTTTCCTTTCAAGTCGTTTTCTTCACCCAAACCAGGGACCCCTCTCGCCTGGCCCTCTGATCTCATACATCATCCACCCACTGAGTGACTGGAGTGAATCCAGCTTCTCCTCCGCTGTTCCAGCCCATGGGTCGTCTTTGCTTGTGATCTTAATACCTAGCGACCCTGCAATCATCTTTGTCTTGTACTCCGTACCATTGTCGTCCACCAAGACTGGCACGGAAGCAAAGCCACTCGGAATATCATTAGTATCAACGCGATGGTATGATGCGCCATCCAACTCCAACCGCTCTGGATCGGTTGGGCTAATTCCCCAGCCACTCACTCCTCTCTGCAGATCATACATACATTTCCCCTTGTCGTCCCAGAAGCAGAATGCCGTCAACCAGCCTCCCAGGTACGACGGCCCACTACCTCCGCCAAAACGATGCGCAATCTTGGACCAAAAGTCGCGTGAGGTGGCAGCCTGTTTTGAATCAAAAGTAGCTATGAAGTTGCGCAGAACGGGGCGAAGGAGGTCTGCAAATGTGCTTGTCTGAGGCCCCAACTCTGGCAGTTTATCGAGTCTGGCGAGGATATCTTCGTAATCTGCGCGCTCACCTAATAGAGTGACAGTGGGAATCCCACACATGAGGGTCATCTTGTATGAGAAATAAGCCTGCATACTGCCCATCATGAGCACCGCAGCCGTCGTACGGTCGGTAACTGTGGTCGTGCTGAAGGCTGGCATGATCCAGTCTCGCAAGTTAGGGTCCTTGACATTCTCCCGTATCAACGCTGTCATGCGCCGTGCGAGCGCGCCGACGTCTACGCTATGGATATTGCCAACGTCTTTGACTTCGAGCTGTTTCTGCCCTTGGTGCGAGACGAAGTGGTCGCGCAGTTTTTCGGCGTTGGCGTTGATGTAGAAGTTCAGCTGCGATAAGATGGCGAACCATACATCTTCGGGGCGGATGGTAAGGTGATGATGGCTGCAATATGCATTGAAAGCTGCGTGGACGAACCCGTTGTTCGATTCGATGAGGTGAGATTTACCGAACTCGTCCTCGGGGATGGAACTTTGGATAACCCTTTTGCACTTTTGCGAGTCTCGTGGACTCGTCCCTCTTAGTAGTTCTTCGCTAGAGGTCAGTTTGTGATTTCTGTAGTAGCTGTTGGATTCGTGGTCCGCAACTGTGAGTGTGACCGGCATGGTTGTTGGTGTGTATTGGAAGATCGGTTGCAGCGTAGAGAAAATCCGAATTATTTTGAAATGTTAAGATTGTACTTTTCCTCATGAGAATACGAATAACTCTTATACCTATGTGACATGGGTTTCAGGCGGCCGTTACAAGGTTGTCGCTGTTGCTGCCTATGCCTAGATCAGCCTACGGTCGTGGATGGGTGCCTTCCAATGGTTCGCGGGGTAATTCCGTTTTCGCTCTTCCAAAATTTGCACCAGCCATCACAACGAAAAGGCACAGCTTTACTTGATGAAATTGTCACATGGAAGAGCAACGCGTCCGCGAATCTGCCATCATAGCTCCCGATACCGACAGCATGATGCCTCGTTTGAAGAAACCAGCCAAACGGTGTCTTCCTGTACATGGTTTCTCCTTCGATGATAAATGATCCCGGCTCACAGAACAACAACACTTGCACAGTCTTGGACTTCTTTTGTCATCCATGTGTTCAAAAACATGCCAATATCAGGCTGCAGTTTGGCCTGCACAGCCAAGTATGTGGCGTCGGAACAAGGCAACCTCCCAGACACAACCGGCTCCATGTCTACTTCAACATCATACCTACTCCAGTGAAGAAACAGAATGTCTGATCTCAAACGAACAGTCAATTCGGGTATTTTCAGGGAGAGCCCATTGCTACAAGGACTTCCGAGTGAGGTTCCACCAAGTTCCCCATACACGTTCTTCCTTGTGACGATAGCAGGCGAGACGCCTGAGCATCGAGACGCTCGATTTGAACCACTCAGTACCTTCAAGTCTATCCCTAATCTTTCGCAAGATTGGAACAAAGCCCAAACAGCCCCCAGACCAAGGACATTTAGTAGGATTGGTTTCAATCAAGCCGTGTATCAATGATCGAGCGCAAGAACTGAGTGAGGCATGCAACCTAGAAACGGATTTCAGACCCAATCCTTGGGAGGATCGCTATCCAAAACGTTACATCGCATCACTTGAACGACTGATGAAGAGACGTCTGTTTATCACCTCATCGGGTCATCTCGGTCTCGGACCAGCAGGCATGATGGCTGGAGACTCGATCGTGATTTTGTTTGGTGGAAATGTACCATATGTATTGAGATCCCTCAGTGACAATCAATGGCATTTTGTCGGTGAGTGCTATCTTGACGGGTACATGAACGGGGAAGCGCTCGACAACGAGGGTAAAGGTCCACAAAGCCACAGGTAGGTTGAACTAGTGTGACAGGTAAGAAGTCCATCGAGGGATAAGTTTGAGCAGTGCAATTACTCTCATCTTCGTCAACATTGGCATCGGGCCGTATGGATGTGGTGAGTTTTGTCGGGCGAGGAAAACTAGAAAGAAGAATGTTGGGGACTACAGCTAGAAAGAAGCAAGCGATCGCTCCAGCTGGTGCTAGCCTATTTTGCCGTAGAGCATGCAGGAAGTCTGAACCTGCGTTTGCAGACGATTTAGCGAGCTAAGCTGGAAAAGTAACGACGGCGGTGAGAATGTATTTGTTCGCGACTGTGCTGGACGACAGCACAGGGCATGTGCATGGACCTAGTCCAGTCCTTTTTCTACTGCAACGAAGAGATTGAGGTGTGAGTCGACCAATGTCGAATCAATCGGTTGACGCGCCACCTTGTTATGATTATGCAGCTTCCGGGAGCCATCATTTACGCGTTAGCAAACTCATTCATTCCTCAAATGTTGGACGCGACAACTGCTCAATGGGTATTTGATTTGTTCATTATTACCACGAAGCCTAGGAATATAGGCATTCGCACCACGGTGCAATCCCGTTAGGGAAAACTCGTGTTATCCTATACGCGAATACTCAAACACATTATACACAAGCTCTTGCCCGTCCAACATACAGATCTATGACTTCGTATCGGGGGTCATGTCTTGTCCTCCTTCATATCGTACTGCTCGGCTGCGCTCCAACTCGAATCAAGGGGGGGTATCTTATGCGACGCCACGGCCGGCTTGCCTCTGTGCTGTGTGTTAGAAGAGTGCGAATATAGGTGGCTGGTGAGGCTGGGTAACGTACCTTCTTGTTGATGAACATGGCAATGACCAGGACGGCGACGAGGAAAACAATGACGAAGACGACGATGACACCGGGCTCACGCTGAGCCCAGTTCTTGTCACGCCTGGCAAGCTGGTGGAGAGCGTACTCGGCGCGAGCAGCGATAGGCATAGAGATGGCGGCCATTGTGTTTGTGGGTTTCTGAGGTGAATGTGTTAGACAGGATGTTCGAACGGGGTAGCTGAAGAGATTCCTGGAGCTGGAGAAGCACAGGCCAGCGACATTGGGCGAATGCGATTCAGTCCAAGAGAGCTATGGAGCAGAAAGATCTTCAGCCAAGGCTTGTCGCAAGACTGGTCCCGATGGCGTAGATGGGATAACGCGGCGCGCAACCTCCTAGGCAGCTCGAGAGAAAAGGCGGCATTGAGCTTACATTTACGAATTGAATCGGACCTCTTTTGAATTATCGAGCTGGATGAAGCTTTGTTTGGAAGCTGGTGATGGTAACGGAAGCTTGTCAGCGCGATCGGATCAAACCCACGGAACGGTCGCGACGGCAGAGGGACTCGGCGATGTTAATTGAATGGCGCAGGTCGACAGCGATGCAGCATCAAAGAGTGAAATCAAAAGCCTTAATAGCCAGAGGCTGATAGTCCGCTTTTAAATGCGCCGGCTCGCCGAAAATTTCTGCAGTTGATGAGGCATTTTGTTTGGCCCCGGGTCCTAGCGGGTTGGCCGGGAGCCTCCAAGCTTGCAAGGGTAGAAGCGCGAGCTTCGGCCGGGGATGGGAGCGGTCATGGAATTAGTGAACTTACGTGTGTGAGTCGCGAGAGCGTGTTGAGGTGGGTAGCCGATCGTGGACTTTGGGGATGTGGGAGATTCGGGACGAAGAGCAGCAGCAGGAGTAGATGAATGGCTGGGACCTGGCAACGCGAGGGTTGAGGAAGCTAGGATGGAGCTACCCAGCGCGGCCAATGGCGCGACATGCCATCATTTCGTCGTAGATGAGCCGACGATCGCCAGCCTCATGTTCGGCAGACGTCAAGGGAGTTTGCACGTGTTGATTCACTGTTTTCCAACTTGTTTACCTAGTTCGTACGATAACAAAGAAGGCCCTCTGCGCAGCTTCACCGGTCCCTTTACCTGGTGATATCCACTGTAGCTACTCCCCATGGACGCTCCTCGCGCGCCTCCACACAGTTGCGTCTGGTTGCTGCAAGCCGCCGCTGACGCTACTCATCGGCTCCACTCGACCACGACCCCTGCCACTTATTAACCGTTCTTGTGCCGCAGAAGCAGCAACGATGTCATCGCCCATTGCTTATCTGCAGTGACTGATGAACACGCAGCGAGCCCACCCTCGGATAGAACGCCCTGGCCGTTTGACAAGTCGAACCGTGGGCTGGCAGGCAAAAGCACGCCTAGCGCACCGGAGACAAAAACAACGCATGCTAATAATGCCTCATTTCCAGACGCTCCCTCTGCCGTCAACAGGGCGACGCGCTACGCCGATAGCGCCCAAGCAGACCGGAGGCGCGTGGGGTGGCCTTGGTTCGAGCAGCCGGGATCATCACTAAGCTTCTGTTGTGCCTGTGCCCCCGCATCTTGGCGAGGCATGGCACACGAGGCGCTCTGAAACGCTGAGAAGGATCGCTATGTCACGCACACATCATCACCCGTAGCAAGTGTCGCGAGTGAGAGGCAAACATCCAGGGTGTGTTTCCATGCCCGCCATAGTGACGTTGCCCGTACAGCCAATATTGTTGTTATCAAGGATGGTGCTATAGCGTCGCACATGACTCGGCCACCGTGTGACCGATGTTGCCTGGGCATAAAACACTTATTCAGGCCATCATAACAACAGCTATGTGCAGCCACCCGTCAAGATATGCTGTCGCCCGAACCAATTCCTCCACACTCGCCCCCAGCGGTAAGACGGCACCGTGCAGCACTGCCTGTGCCAGTAGCGGACTTCGTCTGCTCGGAAACAGTGTCGGCAATATCTGGTTCAATGCTGTCCCGATGGTCTGTGGTTGCCCTGTTTCTTGTCAGCCCCATCCGGACCTACACCGCAATTACACCTACTAGACGACAGATTTGGCGTCACCAGCCTCTGCACAATTCTCAAACTCCCTGGTGCCGTTTCTTCTTGAACCCCTTCGGACGACGCATGTGGGAGATACAGCCTGACCGGCAGATGTCTTAGGTTGACTCCTTGCGGATTCAGCAGCTTTTGGTTGATGGGATTGTACAACGCAAAGTCGTGGTTCTTCACTCCATTCCAAAGCTGTGTGCTGTCCTCTTTGCTCAAAAACATGACTGTCTTTCCTGTTCCTGTTCTGAGGTAGTCCGCCTCCTTGACACTATGAATAAACAGATCATGCATATGCTTGTCGTCATTGTCGAGTTGAACGAGCTGTTCGAAAGGGAAGCCAGAGAAGTGCAGTGTGAGGCGCCACGGTAGATGTTGGCGCTCTTCCTCTGCATTATCAATCTTTTGAGCTTGCACAGCTTCTGTATCCGTGTCTGAGGGATATGCGGGCTCAGCACCAGAGTAGAGGTCGTAGAGGAGACCTACAGGATAGTGCCATTTCAACGGCACATCTTCGTAGGATAACCATGCATCTTTCGGTGTGACGTCGGGGTAGATGAGGCTGCGTGAGAAGAAGGCATGTAGTTTGTGTATGAGTAACCCAAGATAGGATATTCGTGGAAATTGTATCTGCCTCTAGTCAGCTCACAAGTCATCGAGCTGTACCGTCATCATGCAAGTATCGAGGTTGCACATACTAAGTAAGGGTCCGACTCATCGTATGTCCTACAGTCGCCCTTGTGCAGCCGTATCTCGAGCGGAACACTCCCATTCCAAGTGCTCTGCCGTAGTCTACTAGTGACGTCTCTCGAGGCCATCGAAGCGAAGCATCCAAGACGCACGTCGCCAGCCGCCGTTCTGGTAGCCTAGGCGCAGCTGCTCGATAGTGGGGTAGGTAGGCAAGGCGCGGTGGCGGGGTATGCAGGGAGCTTGGGCCTGGCGTGCAGGAACCACAAGCCTTTCGCTCGGGCGTCTCTGCGACAACCACGAGCACTTTAAATTATTTGTAGGAACATGTGCGCTGGTCGCGTCTTCTTTGTCCACAACGCATGTATCATGTGATGCCGTAGATGGGCGATCTACTTACGCAGAACAGCTGGACCATGAACGTGGCACTTAGCCGCAAACGTTCGCGCCTGACCATTGACGATGACGACGACGAGGTACCGTACCGCAGAGAGCCGTCGCCTGCCCTGCCAGTATTAGGCGAGAACTTGAAGAGATCGAAGACACAGTGCGAACTGGAAGAGCTAGACATTATAAGCCCGGAAGAAGCATGGAGCGTGGATCTAGACGCTATACTTGCTAGCAACACGCTCGCGACTCCACCAGGCAGTATGTTACAGGCGCATGACAACTGGCCAAGGTACAAGGGACAGGGGTCAATAATAGTTTTGTGCGTGCAAGGAAACGTTCAAGTACACTACGAATTGCTATGGTAAAATCATCCCGATCCCATCTGAACCACCACTAACATTCGACAGCTCCGCACTACCAGACCTTTACGCTCTCTCGCCATCCCTCCAAGCCCTCGTCCTCTGCCACGATCCTTCGACACATAGACTCTCTTCGTCTGCGCCCTTCTCGCTGCCCATAATACAAGCTGCGACACCTTCGAACAATCACTTCGTCCGCCTAGGCCTACTACATCCTCTTGGTGGAGGCAAATTTCCATTAGATGCACTCGTCGTGCTAGATAAGCAAAGTAGAAGAAGGTTGGTGCTACCATTTGGTTGGGGTGCTGGCAAACATGCGGATACGCCTGCGGGACGGAACATACAACTAAGGTTAATGGGACTACTTAAAAGTTGTGTTTCGACTTTGCAGAGGGAACCAGGCATACGATAGTACTACGCGGCACAAATGATGAGGTCAATGTGAAAGTCTGGAGTAAATCAAGGCTTTCGATAGACACGATGAAGAACGACATGAGCATAGTAGTAACATACAGACATTGTTTGACATGATAGTCAGAATTATCATAAGAATACACCATGGGCTCCAAGAGGTTTCATTAGATGTGTAGTACTACATGAACGCAATTATCCCACTGTCCTCCAAGGTATCGTAGCTAGAAGTACTGCCCGTGAACGCCTACGCCTGGACCGGCTTCGCTAAGAGCAGAGCAACACCAATACACCTGCATGTGAATCTCCGCCGCCATTGTGCCATTGGAAATACCGTCTGGGAGGCTGTACTTCGGGTCGATAACGGAACCAGTAACAATCTCAACGATCATGGGGCTGTAATATTTGATAGGAATCTCGGCAAAGTTGTCGCTCTATCAGAAGAAGGGAGAGATAAGTCACACTCCATCTTACAACGTATTTGACCGTGGTATCTATGAGGGAGTAAGCCACGGTGTGTCCACGAGTGCCAACTGAGGACTAAAATACCTCTCGTAGATCTTTGCATCGTCTGTATCCATCTTTAAGACAGACAGTTCACCGAACCGGTGTTGCAAATAGGCCATATCAGCTAGACCGGTCACAAACCGCATCTTGTTTACATCTCACATCGTATCGTGTAGAACGTTCGGTTCTTCCGATTTTAGAAGACTCGTTGCTTGACGTGTATCTGATGAGGGTGGGATCAGTTGGCGTGGTAAACGTCGGAGCTGCTGCAAAATAAAGAAACTGGTGCAATCGCTCACAGTAAATTTTAGGCAGACTAGCGCCGTATCGCCATTGGTTTGGCCCTGAAAGATAAGGAACGGCGGCGAAAGCGATGGGCAGAGATCACTTACTTTGGTGGAGTGTTGCACATTCACTTCAGATCTAGAACAAGCCACTCACTATGGGTCTTTCTAGATGCGATTGAAGAATATTTTCATCGCGGAGAGTGCGCATCTCGGCGCCTAGATACGATGGTGCCTGCTGAACGTGATACAGGTTCATCGAAAGCCTCCAACGGTCACGTTCAGCTTTAACAAGAATGACGACAGTCCTATCATGGTCGATCGTAGTACGCCGTACATAGTAGGAGTGAAGGGGATGAGTGACAAGAATAGGAGCTGACCCTAATAGAGCACGACGAGTGAGGCTCTCATATGAGTAGGCTCCCATTTTGTGGGGGTGGAAACTTAGTGGAACATGTGAGTGGATTCAATGTTTCATTTCCCGTGTGTTTGCGGTGAGTGGGCGCCTAAGTCTATGACTGATGTCTTTTGGTGTGTATATGTCCTTGTCAATTTTCGACACGTTCCGTACCTCTCTACTCTGAAATAGCTTCTCACATCAGCTGAAACCCCTGGTTGTAGAATTTCGGAATGTTACTGATCGCGCTATGCCATAGTATTGCCTGCCGGGGATAATGTAAGTATTTTTGTCGCCAGGTCTATACGTTCGATCCTGCACCTCTTCTTTCCTTTTGCCTTTCTGACAACCTCGAACTGAGAGTGGAAGCACAATTTCAGGCCATATACAGCTCTCTGGATTTGAGTGCTTAATCATTGCCAATGTTGAAGTCTACCTACGTAAGTAGGCAGTTACAAAGTGGTAGACGAAAAGACATTGAGCACAGAGGGCTGTCTGCAGAAAGCTACAGTGCGTAGTCAAGTTTCGCAGTAGCATAAATAGATTCGAACGCCCTGACTAAAAGCTTTGTTGTTGTAATGTGGCATGGGATTAGTGATAAGTGATGGCATAAAGCGTGAACGAACGTCGGTGTGAGGTCAACGATTAGCGTCTGGCATCAGCCGAGCACGCCCCCAGCGACAGCATTCGGCCGCACCATTCCATCCCCATCGAAAAAGACTAGATAACAGAAGCACCATAATTCTCTAGCTATCCACTGCCTTCCGCCACAATCAAAACGATCATTGCAAATATTGTGTTCGCGCCTGTTGCGGATCCGCACGATAAGATCGAAACATGGCTTCAGCCACCACAGTCCCTTGATAGGAGACGAACCGCTTCTACATTGTCCCTCTGGTGGAGCTTGCGAACGAAAATGGAGGGAGTAGATTACCAGATGCGGCAGGAGACTCCTAGCTCCAGTCGTCAAAGCCACTAATTCTGCTGTGATAACCTAGTGTGGGTTCAATCGACCCCACCCCACAAGCTCCGGATCGAAGCAAACGTTGATACATAACCATGTTCGCACCTTGTACAGAGTCACCATCACTACTTGAAATCCGCATGAAAACAAATGAGACTGCGGAACTACGTTAACAAATCATAATCACCCACCATGCCTCAAGTCATCAAGCTGAAAGCTCCGAATGGTCAAGAGTAGGAGCAACCCACAGGCCTCTTCATCGATAATGAATTCGTGGACTCATCATCGCCAACAAACACAATATCATCAATCGACCCTGCCACGGAAAAGGAGATCGCTGTAGTACAGGCTGCGTCCGAGCAGGATGTTGATCGTGCAGTCCAAGCAGCAAAGAAGGCATTGAAGAATCCGGAATGGAAGCAAATATGCGTTACTCAACGTGGGCGACTCATGGCAAAGCTTGCAGACTTGATGGAAGAGAACAAGGAACTTCTTGCCACTATCGATGCTTGGGACAACGGTGAGCTTCGTAGAACAGATAATTGAAGACACATGCTAAACGTCATCAGGTAAGCCTTACAGCGTAGCCCTCAACGAAGACCTTCCTGAAGCATTTTCTACTATTCGCTACTACGCTGGTTGGGCGGATAAGATTTCTGGGCAGACAATTAGTACCACCCCTCAGAAATTTGCATACACTCTACGCCAGCCTATCGGTGTTATCGCTCAGATTATCCCTTGGAACTACCCCTTATCCATGGCTTGCTGGAAACTTGGACCTGCGTTAGCATGCGGCAACACGGTCGTATTGAAAGCAGCGGAACAGACACCATTATCGATTCTCATTTTAGCTAAGCTTATCAAGCAGGCTGGATTCCCGGCTGGCGTTGTAAATATCTTGAACGGGCTTGGACGGGAAGCAGGTGCAGCGCTGGTACAACATCCTCTCGTCGACAAAGTCGCTTTCACGGGCTCTACCACTACTGCAACCCAGATCATGAAGATGGCTGCTGCAGGACTGAGGAACATTACTTTGGAGACTGGAGGCAAGTCTCCGTTGATCGTCTTTGAAGATGCCGACATGGAACAAGCGGTACGATGGTCGCACGTAGGTATCATGTCGAACCAAGGCCAGATTTGCACGGCTACTTCTCGTATACTTGTTCAGGAGTCGATTTTCGATTCCTTCATCACCCAGTTCCGCCAGCGGATCAAGGTCGTTTCTGTTATCGGTGATCAATGGAGCGATGATACTTTCCAAGGTCCTCAAGTCACTAAACAACAATACGAACGGGTGCTCTCATACGTCGACATTGGTAAATCTGAGGGTGCAAAGCTGATTGAGGGTGGAGAGGCTTGTGAAGGCAATGGCTACTACGTCAAGCCCACAATTTTTACAAAGGTCTCGCCCAACATGCGCATCTATAGAGAGGAGATTTTTGGGCCTTTCGTAGTGATCGCAACTTTCTCAAGCGAAGAGGAAGCGATAAACATGGCCAACGACTCGATCTTTGGTCTCGGCAGCGCCATCTTCACAAAGGATCTTGAAAGAGCTCACAGAGTGGCTGCGGAGATTGAATCGGGCATGGTTTGGGTGAACAGCAGTCAGGATTGCGACTACAGGATACCTTTTGGTGGTGTCAAGCAAAGCGGGATCGGACGGGAGCTTGGTGAGGCAGGGTTAGAGGCCTACTCACAGTTGAAGGCGGTGCATATCAATATGGGTAATAAGCTGTAGATTTAATGGCGGGATGATGTTTGTTGTCAAAAACCCCAACAGTGCTTTGTATTTGCCTGTCCGTGCCTCAGCTACTTTCAACGACCCCGTAAACTTACTCATCAGCTCCTTCCTAGAGAGGGAAACAGGTTCCTCCACCCTCAAGATTACGCTTTACAGCAAGCTACTCGTAGAGCTATATCGAAAGCGCCGGAATGGTGTTTGTCATATTCCAAACGGAGCCTTTGGCGCCAGCGGCAACAACATGACAGATGAAGGTGTCCCAGTCGTCCAATACGGTAAACTTATCGTTAGGCTCTAACTATTACATCATTCCAATTACACCAACCGTACTTGTAGCTAAATATGGTGTCGAGAGCGGCTATGGAGTGTAGTAAAAAGAGAACGCAGGGAACAAGACGATGAAATGCAAGTTGATGGAAGGGGTGATAGTCATAGTTTGCACAATTTCTGGAATAGAGAGATGGCAATCCATACTTTCCATCCTCTTGGTACAATAGCACGTGGGCGTCTCTAATAGACTTTCATTGACTGAGACACGGTAACTACGAATAAAGTTCTTGAGCAAAAAGAAATCATGTGTACCACACAAACGCCACGCAACCCCAAGTCTTAGGAATGTAAAAAAAGAAAGAAGGAAAACAACAACAAATAATGTGCATCTTTCAAACGTTCATTTCCTTTTATGCTAATGCACATTCGCGGTAAGGCGGCTAAGCCGTTACCCGCTACGCCGCGACCACGCCCCCCATCGCCCCTTCATCCCATTCGTACCACTCGTACTAACATGAGCTATTTCCCTCACTTCCAACCCTCTGCTCCTTTCCCAAGTATATGTGCACGGGTCTATCTTTTTGACGCAATCCATGACGTTTTCCATCTTGGCAAAGTAACCAGGATTCATTTCCAATTCCATGCTACCGGCTTATTTGTTGTCTCCGATTCCGCCTGATACTTCGAGACGTTGGACACGAACGCGAGCATGAGAGCAAATCCAAAACAGTGGCTGTCGACTATTCTACTCTACTATCACATTTACCCGTTATTCTACCGGCAACTTGTGTATGAGACAATCATACTCGCGCCTACTTCCCCAATCGGAAATCGATTTTGGCCTGTTCTCTGGACACAACTCGATAGCAAACAAACCAGGAGACGGTTGGATTGGTGTAGAGCGGGAAAAGGTACTGACAACAGCAAAAGAAGGCTAAAATGATTGCCACCAATGCAAATACAGCTTTGTACCTGAAAGCTGCTCTAGTATTAGCTTGCCTCTTGCCACACCCCACACACCCACACACCCACACATACGGGCAAAATACCGAGAAAAATCATCCAATATCTCTCCACGAAAGGCAATATTAGATCGAGCTACGATAAGCGAAATCTGTCACCCGCCAGCTGTCTCGGTCTGCGGACATGTATTCCTAGCCAATGGAAGCATTTCTATGTTACGCAGGTGTTCAATATCGGCGTAATCTCCCGATGGCACGAGAACTTATATCACGTACTTGCTTTTTCCGATGACAACGATATCTAGTGCTAAGTGCGGAGGTGGCTTGCGGGAGGAACACGAAGTGAGAAAGGAGGAAAGTACAGATGGGGACTTCGTGCATATGGATTTCCACATTGTCTGATTACGGTCAAGCTGATATGTCAGGATGGGGAATCCTTTGATCTAGGTCGCGACGACGACGCGCCGGTAGTGGGTAGTTGTCATTGTCGTTTGCTGGTTGTTCATGCGGGCCAGGGCATCTAGCGTGGGTTAAAAAAGAGGGGGATTGCGCATTCGAACAAGATCTCGACGATCGATCTCCAAACCTTCTTGGTCCCCGAATACGATACAAATATGCCCTATTCCCTGTACTTACGACCGCGCAATTCTGACCCGCACCTCTAATAGTTGAGCAAAATGACCATGCAAGTGAGACGGTGTGGGTATCTGATACAACATAGATCGGAGACCGCGACCTAGTATCGTACAGCGATCTGTGTGTATGGTAGAGTAATACAGGGTGTCGACACCACAAAGAGAACGCAGGGGCATCATCAGTCTTGCGCAACGTGATACAACCCTAGAAAAACCTGCATACATATCCGCACATCGGCGTTGAAGTCCAGCCAGTCGCAGCAGTCAAGGCCCTTAACAAGTTTGCTCTTGGATCGGACGAAAGCGTTGCAACCGCAGAGTCGGCGCGCGCTACAGCCTACCATCTGCATAACACCGGTAAACCTAACATTGCAGAATGTGCTCTATGAAGCAGGCCCCTTGCATCATGCCGTGAGTCTCACCCCTTATAATCGCGTGCGAAGCTTCTATACCAAGATTGAAAACTCGGCTGGATTGTACTACCGCACTTTGATTGCGGTGCACTTGGTAGCTGCGCGGTCTTCCGTTGATTGAGGGGCGGATGCAGGATTCCGTGAGCGCATCTCCTTTGTGGCACAGTTGGGGTAATGGCGGCTGAAGATGAGGTTTCGGAGCTGGTATGCACGGGACGAAAGTGTATTGATGCGGTATCGTGGACGGAGCTAAGTTTTGTCTCCGGCCTGGCTGCTGTATCTGGTGCGTTGCTGAACCAAAGTGCAAACTAGCCAATCACTTGCGTCTAATGTTGGAATGTAATTTAATGCAGCAATGATGTTATCGGTATGCTACCTGTAACGTTCTTGATAGCATTACTCGCGAACTCCAAGCCCAACCGCCGACGTTCTTGCCAATGGTGTTCAATGTGCCAACTTGAGAGAAATGCTTCGCTGCCGACCCTTCCGATTCGCTGCATATCCCAGTTCGCAAGATATCTTGTCCACCCCTGCTGCACTTTCTTGCGGTGGAATTTGCCTTTATCAGCTGCAAGCGATGCGCTGCATCGCGCTTGTAGGCGGAGTGTGCAAACCGTAGAAGGCTATACCGAAGCTCAGGTATAGACAATATATCGCGAGGAAGGTTGCTGCCGCGGAATGCTCCACCTGCAAGAAAGGCCGTCGTTCGGGCCAATGCAACCGCAGCCCGTCTCTTGCCTGTTACGACCAGGCTGCATAAAGGGCCCTGTCTTTTGACAGCTGTCATCGCCACGGTTGTGATGAGAGGCGTAGTCTTGCAGACGCGGCTTGTCCTGTGATCACGGTAGGGGTTCATTTCAGGTCCGTCTATTCACTCCGCTACTAACTGTGAGGGGGCGGATTTACTGCGCCACGAGTCAGGATGTACGCAAACCAGGAGGCAACGGGGAAATTCCGCCGGCACGCCCAACGGCAGTCTTCTCACGTGAGGTGAGATGCGCACAAGACACCCCAGTGATCCCACAACGGCTGGCGAGTCAGATTAATGTGTATTTGCGCGGGAAGCGAAAGGAACAGGTGTGTTTGGTTCTGGCCCTCAGTGGCTGATGCGCCAATCAAACAATGCATGGGTCGAGCTTCAGGGAGAGCCCGCGACTCGAAAGGCCTGTGTTGTATTAGCCTACGGCGTCAGTCGGGGCGACTCCACCCCAAGGCTACGCTCTTGCGGCTAGCGTTTCGCTGGGTCTGACGAAGGACGGTTGCGAGTACTGTCTGTGCCTTCCCGCGGTCGATGATGCATCGCCAAGTAGGGGAAGCGGAAAAGGATATGAACTGTACTTGTATACTGCTGCTGTATCAGGAAGGAATTGGCGCGTGGGTACAGTGGTGCGTCTAGAGCGTCCAAGTTCATGCATAGAAGATTGCCTTGTGCAGAAAACTTGCTAACAAATGGAGCCTTATTTCTGGGTCAGGTCCAACTGCTACGTGGCTTCAATTGTGACTTTTTGCGTCGTGGGCGGATAGCTTTACAGGACGTGAGCGACAAGGTCTTGAAGCCCAAACACCTCAGCCCCCTTAGCACATTGCAGGTGGTATGACGTATATCATGCAACCATTTCGACGCCGTATGCTGCCGAAGGATATTAAGCGGCACTTAGGCGTTGTTTTCGGCATCGCAGCCAAGATTCAAGTCCGGGTATAGCAGGTTTGCAATCACGTTACGGACCGATTGTATACCCACATTCTCAAACAACTGCCCAGGTGTTGTGACTCGACGAGCGTTCCCGTAGCCTCGCGCTCCCAGCCAGCGACACAAGCCGTTAGCACGCGCCGAGAGAGTTTTGCCTGCGCTAGAGCCTAGATCTGCAATCGGCACCCAGCGTTTCCCGAAGGCGCTGCGTGCTCCGAGCGATCGACGCTCACTATTTATACAAGAACGTTGCAAGGGCGTTCCGAGGTCTTTGAACCCAGCAACTCGGAATTGTTGCGGGTGCATTTTGTTCAGTTTGGTGAATTCTAAGCGACCGATTGGGTTTACATGGATATTTCGTGAGGCGAACATCAAAAGATCAGCAAGCAGTCGCGTGAGAGAGGCGTGGCGAAGCCCGTAAGAACGGTATCGAAAAGGTGATGATTGGCGAGGCTGATGACGCCGCCCAAGTGGACACTGATGATGAGGTCATTGTCAATTGTGGCTCGATTGTATGTGTTTGATACCTAGACCTCCGTGTACTCCCCGCACCAAGGAAAACCATGCACAATCTGCTGGGCAACACAAAACCTACTATCTGCTAGCCACATACACAAAACCAGCTCTTGTAAAATCCTTTGCCTAAGTTGCCATTACGCTGTATGACCGCATGTAAGCTGCATCCCAAATCCGCGATGATCCAGCTCAAAATCGATATTCGAGAGCATACCGGAGTCGGCCAAACTCAAGCGGCACCGAAAGACTCCGCTGTACCGGAATGGGGAAGTTGAGCGACGAATTATGATTAGCCGCGATAGCGAGTTCAACAGCGTTGGCGACTCGGGAAGCCCCGCTCGGCAGCCGTCAGCCGTGTCACCCTATCCCGTTTTTGCGAGTAGCCATGTAAGGGTGTATCTAGTCATGCAGGTAATTCGGATAGCGTAAGCTGTAACATGCCCTGAGTGTGTGATTCGCTGCTCCGCCGAGTGTGAGGCGTTGAATGATGTCGACACGCTAGAGCGCGGTT